TGTGTGTGTGTGTGTGTGTGTGTGTGTGTGTGTGTGTGTGTGTATGTTTGTGTTTCTTGGCATTGTGGAAAAGGGGTGGTGGAGAAGTGCAAAGACACAATTGTGTTACATCAACCCAGAACTCAACTGTTGCCAAGGAGAGAAGCGAAAATACACCTTAATCCCTACAAAAACCAAAGTGATCTCATTATTCGTCTAAGTTTTCCTTTATCTATACAAAGGAGATGGCACTTTTTCGCACATTGCAAAAACGTTTCCCCGGATAGATGAGTTCAGGAGACTAAACACAGAGGGTGGGCTGCATCGCTTCACTGATGAAAATGTCTTCTGATAGCGCTGATTGAAAAATTCTGCACCGCACGTTTGTCGCTTGCGAAAACGACCAGAAAGAAAGGGTGAAGAGGGAGGGGTGGGGTGGGGTGGGGGTGGTATGAGCGGATCACAAAAATATTTGAAGAATGCATCCAAGCAAGAAAAACGGACCCTGCGTAATACATCTCTGTGCACCCCAAATCAACGTTCTTTTCGAAATTCTTTTCCTCATCATGTCCTCACATTCTGGTCGGCTAATGTGACAATGTGTCACAATAACAAAACAATATGCAGGAAAAATCAGTATTTCATTTATGGTAGTAATAAAACTGCTGCAATTGATGGTGATTTTAATGTTCTTCGTTTAGGCTTTGAAGTGCGCTTTGTTTTATGCGAGCCTAAACTGAGCACACCAAACATACTCTCAACATTTTACAGTGAAGACAAAGTAAGAAAACAAACCAAAATAATAGAAGATTAGGAAATAAAATACACACCCGACAGTCCCATTCAATTTTCCATCCTCCCACTGTTTTGTATTTTTCCTTCACTGGATAAATGTAATCAACACGTTAGATACGTGTAATTTCGGAGCCCAGCCAGTTAGGTCGTGCCTGCCAGTGCCAGCTCAGACAGAGTGAGATAAAACAGCTCTGATGAAACACGATTTACTGGAAGAAACATCTTCCCTACTCTGGACTCGAACTCCCCTCTAACGTGTACAGCTGCGAAGGACTTAATCGTTATACCAGAGACACTGGTCATAAGCGAACCTTTGTTACGGCTCAGAACAACAGAATTACTGTGGACCTTATACATTCCAACAACGAAGCCCGAGTGTGAAGGTAGTCAGCAAAGTATTATTTCAAAGTTCACTCGACATTTGGATGTTCTGTTACGGCCCCGCTGGGAAAGTCAGAGAAAACCCATTGGACTAATCATTCGACCAAAAACACGGAAAGCGAAGGCAGCTCAATAAAACAGGGCCTTTCTAGTCTCTGGGGGAATGGCAGATGGAACTCAAAATGATTGTCTGTAGTGAATTTGTTTAATATTGCAAATACTGACCTATCTAGGCTTTCAGCAAAACCATTTAGCAAAGGACTTTGTGGATTGTGTGTTGCGCGAACATACTACAGCCTTAGCTGAGTAGGTCTTAGCAGCAGTGCTAAATAGCATTTCTTTATTACAAGGACGGTGCTAAAACATGTTTTGTCTTTCGACTTCTTTTCTTCTCTTTTCTGTCGTTTTCAAACTGAATTCAGCAAGTAGATCTATGCACACAAAAAAAAAACCAACAACAAAAAAGAAGAAAAAAAAGAAGTTAAAAGTAAAAGAGCTTCTTTTCTCATTCTTTTGTGTGTAAAGAAAAATGAGTGGGATGAGGTTGGAGGATTAGGGGATAGGAGAGGAACGGAGATGTGGATGGGAATATGGTAGGGTGGGGTTAGTGGTGGGCCAATGGGACTAGAGGACAATACTGGGTTATGTTTTGTTTTTGGGAATAATTTCGGTAAGCGCTTATCCCTGCCCATAAGCAGGAACCAAACTTTGCCTACGTCAAGATGCATTGTGTAACACCTGGAAAACTAAAGATGGGTTTGTAAAACATATGTGTATCGGATACTCATGAGACGTCTTGAAATATGGACAATGATGGAAGGTTCCCCCCCCCCCTCCCTTGAACTGTCCAAAGTTCGTGTTACATCGGTAGGCCATTCCACTGACAAAGTTTCTGAAGTATTGAGCATAAGGATTGGAAGCATGCTATACATGTTACCCTCATTATCTCCGTGCTTCTAACCTGTTTTTAATCTTGTTCCCGTCTTTGAACCAATCAATATCATCTGGCGGGTATTCGCTGCCCGTGGCATTGCAGACGAGCTGGAGAGTATCTCCCCTCTCGACGAAAAGAGTGCCGTGTATGGCGATCTCGGCCTTATACCCTTTGCCCACAGGAGTCTCTGCAAAAAGCAAAAGGTAAATCATTGCCCTTTGTGCTTCTGATAAAGCTGAAACTACATAGTATTATTTTAACATTGTTGGAGCAGAAAGACAGAAACAAAACAGAGGGGCAGTTTATTGATAACTAAAACTATGACAAATACATAATATATATGTATACATATATGAGTGGTGTGTGTGTGTATGTGTAATATATATATA